GGTAAGCACAGGTTAACAAGGCTAAGCCTACTGAATAAAATGTCAGGTTTTCTGTATAATTTATGTGTTTGATGTGAATAACAAAGAATTCGTTCTTCATCCTTCAGTTTCCTCAAGAGCTTGTCACCTATGGAGGGAACGGACAGGTGTTCAGTAACTGGGCCCAGGTATGGCCTGAGTTAACATGATCATTTGCACGTCTCTGATCACAGTGTATCCCTTTTAAGTTTTGCATTTGTGTGGGTGCAGTTCCGCCTCGTGATGCATTACCTGAGCGAGATGACAGAGGAACAAACTCTGGTTATGTACAGCGGTCACCCCATGGGCCTTTTCCCCAGTCTGCCTTCCTCACCTCGCGCCATCATCACCAACGGCATGGTAACGGCGAATCAGGCATTTAGCTCAGTAATGTCATATGAAGAGATAAGTGACGCATTCACATGTTTTTCTTTTGCTTGCATCAGGTTATTCCAAATTACTCCTCCAGAGATCAGTATGAGAAGATGTTTGCGCTGGGTGTATCAATGTAAGTCCTCAAGGTCCATTATAGCTACTTGCTTTTTTTGTCTAGAGATGCCAAGTGTGGTCTCTTTGGTCTTTGCTGTGCATTTTCAGGTACGGTCAAATGACGGCAGGCAGCTACTGTTACATTGGGCCTCAAGGGATTGTTCATGGAACTATGGTTTGTAATAATTACAAACAGATGCACACAACACAGTCTGAAAGTCCCTCACACAAAAATGTATTAATGCACGCTGTAGTGCCTGTTTTAGATTTGTATTAGTGGTCCTTTTTTGCAGCTGACGGTACTGAATGCCGGCCGGAGGTACCTGGGCTCTGATGATCTGAGGGGGCGTGTGTTTGTGACCTCTGGCTTGGGGGGAATGAGTGGCGCTCAGGCTAAAGCTGCCGTCATTGCCGGCTGCGTCAGTGTGATTGCAGAGGTCAGCTGGTTTCAAGTCATTTCCCATGAACTCTGATGACTAAGCAATAACAGAGGAAGTACTGTGTAAAGTCAATGTGACTGTGTATATTTGATTTGCGTTTAGGTGGATGAGGCTCCTCTGAGAAAGAGACATGAGCAGGGTTGGCTAATGGAGGTCACTAGCAGCTTGGATCAGTGCATTAAACGCATAAGGTAACTGAGAACATTGGATTAAAAGTCTTTATCAAAGGTTCAGTCAGACTGCTCTCGTTTGAAATGATTTACTACATCAGAGATTGAAAAGGTGGCCCTTAAAGGTGGTTTTCGATGTAAGGAGACTGGTTGTGGATGAAGCAGTGCATATCCAGCTGACTGCCTGTACTAGCTTGCAGGATTCACTCGAGCATGTTCTCTTTGTTGAGACTTTGTTCAACGAAGGGACATTTAACCAAATATCAGTGCGGGTGTTTGCGCCTGTATGTATACTTTTAACCTTGTGTGGATTAGAGGTGGTAAAATGTTTCATACATTACAACAAACCCCATAAACATACAAGTAGCATGGTGATCCAATGTTAGAAGGATTCCACAGGTAAATCTCTCAGCTGTGAAAGTCACTAATTACTACTTTGTTTCTTACAGAGAGGCTAAGAGCGCCAAGACTCCCCTCAGTCTGGGATACCATGGCAATGTTGTAGACTTGTGGTGAGTCAGACAGGATACGTTTACACTATAAAACTCAGGTCTACAGCTGCAGCTGCAGTGAAGGAGACAGTTTTTGTTGTTGTTGTTCCCTTGAGGTCTTAGTCATAGTCTGCTCTTTCTAAACAGGGAGAGAATCCTGCTGGAGTTTGAGAGGACAGGCGAGCTCCTGGTAGATCTGGGTTCAGACCAGACCTCGCTTCACAACCCATATAATGGTGGTTACTATCCAGTCCAGCTCAGTTTCCATCAGGCCAACCAGTTCATGTCTACTGATCCTGACCGTTTCCGCAACGTGGTCCAAGAAAGGTTAAATTAATCACAGAGCTTAACAAAGCTTATTGTTGTGCTGTTGTTTTTATATGTCTCTCTATTAAGCTGAAGAAATGTGTTTTAAATGCTATCACAGCCTCCGAAGACAAATAAAGGCTATCAACAAGCTAGCTGATGCAGGCATGCACTTCTGGGACTACGGTAATGCTTTCCTCCTGGAGGCCCAAAGAGCTGGTAGGTAATTTAACTAACACAGAGAACTCCATTATCATGCAGTTAATTATAGACTAATAACGAGGAATACTGTCTTTTGATTTACAGGTGCAGAGGTTCAAAAAGTTGGTGGAGGAGCAACAGAGTTCCGTTACCCTTCTTATGTGCAGCACATCATGGGGTGAGCATCATGAACTAAACTTCACTAAGTTTAAACATGTTGTAAAGCCTGCCATACTGTGACTAAACCCTTTAATGAGATGTGTGAATAAGCTTGTGTGCAATATTTTTGATCTAATTTCATATGCCTTTACCCAGGGATATTTTCTCATTGGGCTTTGGGCCATTTCGCTGGGTGTGCACATCTGGCGACCCCAGAGATCTCGCTGTAACTGACAACATTGCCGCTACTGTCCTGGAGGAAATGAGCGCCAATGTACCTGATCGTGTGAAACAACAGTACAATGACAACATTCACTGGATTAGAGAGGCTGGAAAACATAAAATGGTAAGCTCCCTACTAAAACAATCCACCCACTGGATATTTCAGTGTAAATTACACAGGTAATAAATAAATAATAATACAACAAGAATGCCCATATGCTTCATGTATTGTTTTTTTTTTTTGTTTAGGTTGTAGGATCACAAGCCAGAATCCTGTACTCTGACCAGAAAGGAAGAGTCTCCATTGCTTTGGCGATCAACCAGGCTGTTGCTGATGGAAACGTTTCAGTAAGAGGATAAACTGTCTGCTGAGGTGATCATGAGGCTTGATGTTCAGTTTTGAGTGTAGTCTCTTTGTTGTTACTCTTGTTCAGGCGCCAGTGGTTATTAGCAGAGACCATCATGACGTTAGTGGCACAGACAGCCCCTTCAGAGAGACTTCTAATGTGTATGATGGTTCTGTCTTCTGTGCAGGTACGTGGTACACTCACTACAGCTGAATACAACTGAAATTTGAAGCTTAATACATTGAACTCATTTTACATCACAGGCCACATACAGCCCACTTTGAGCTTAAGTCATCTTAAGTGGGCCAGATCAAATAATTAAGTCTCAGTGTGTGTTACTTCCTTCTTTATTTTGTTGGAGTCCCCTGTCTCCTGTGTGCATGTTCAGTTTTGCTTCTCCTTTCTCGTTAGTCAGATTTAGTTCACCTGTGTTCCCTGGTGTGTTCCATCCTCCTGATTACCTCATGTGTGTATTTAAGCCCCTCTTTTTCTTTAGTTTGTTGTTGTGATCTCCCCTCGTGTTGTGTATTCTCCTATCAGTCCAGCAGTGTTAGTTATTTTAGGTAGTTTGTTCCAGCTCTGCCCTGCCTGTTTTATTGGCCTGCCACTTGCCGGCTGATAAAGCTGAGTTTTTTAGTTCAAGTCTGTCTGCCGAGTCCTGCATTTGAGTCCGCACTCAACCTGCCACACACAAGTGTCCCATGACACAAGTCAGTTCCTTAAAGGCATTCTGAATGCAAGAATGGGAGACTTAAAATATTTTAAAGCTCACTTCCAGGCAGCACATTGTGGTAACAGATGCAGCTTTATAACAGAGCGTATGACCCATTACTGGTTTAGAGAGTTTCAGTGCCTCTGCAGGAAACCAGTATCAAAGAAAAATGCTCTGTGCTTTGCTTCATGGGCGGTACTGAAACCGAATTGTGTCTTTAAAAAAAACAAAACTAAATCTCCTTGACTACTGCTGATATGAAAACTGTTGTGGCTGAAAGTTGTGGCTTGGCCCACAAACGTATAACTTTGGTGACATAAAGCCTTTTTTCATATTCTCATCATTCTTGTATTTCCACATTCATATAATCCATAAATACTTGAGCAGTAATAAAAAAGTCAGCTCACAGCTCACAGCGTGTACCTGTTGCAGACATGGCAGTTCAGAACTTTGTTGGTGATGCATTCAGAGGTGCCACATGGGTAGCCCTGCACAATGGAGGTGGTGTTGGCTGGTAAGTCTGACTACAACAGTTTGCCAAAGCCATATTTATGTATTAATACAAATTTAAATCAGGGTGATTATAACTGCCTCCCATTTACAGGGGTGAAGTCATTAATGGAGGATTTGGTTTGGTGCTGGACGGCTCAGACGAGGCAGCAAAGCGTGCCCGTCTGATGCTCAACTGGGATGTCTCCAATGGGGTGAGATAGCTGAATGCGAAGCAGCTTACAGCCTCACTTCACAGTCTGCAGATGATAATTGTCCTGCTGCTATCTGTGTGTTTCTGTGTGTTGCAGGTGGCTCGTCGCTGTTGGTCTGGAAATTCAAACGCTTACGAGACCATCCAGCGCACCATGGAGGAGAACAGGCAGTTGCATGTCACCATGCCCTTTCCTGTGCAGGACGAGCATGTGCTGGATCGTGCCCTGCAGGGCTAAGCAGCAAGGCAAAACCAGCAAGCTGTGTAAAAAACCAGCCACAAAACTTACATAACAGACTTATCATACCACATTCATACCACAAAGACATCCGAATACGCAGAAAGCCTGCAAATATTTGTCAGTACTGCACTAGGTAATAAATCTATATACAGTGGCAATTTCTAAAACAAAACTCTATCAGGTTGCTACGGTGTTTCATATATTTTAAATGCATGTATTCTTTATTTTCGAACTTGTATACATTATAAAACCTGTGTTATTTGTGTGTACTGAACCTGCTATTACTATCAAGTAATTAAAATGCCAAGTCCTATATTTCATGTGCCATACAGCATGCAGTTCTCTGCAGTAAGAGTTAAACGACTGATGTTCGAGCCAAGGCCAAGTTGGTCACAGTTGATAGCACATAAAAAAAGACAATATGGATTCTGCCCTGAACATTTCTTCACTTTGCACTGCTCATAGCTTTGTGTGTTTATATATATATGTATATATATATGGATCTTGAGGATCCGAGTTCCGTTTTGTTGCACTCTCGAAGGCGAATGGTCGCGTACTTACTACAGGTCTTTGCTCTGTCTGCTGAGATCCTGCCGTGCGTCTTAACGCGGGATTGTTCCTTTAAGAAAACTGTGAATGGTCCATGAATTTGAGCCTCGTCGCGCTGACGTAAGTGAATTGGAGAGGTTGGTGTGCCTTGCAGGAAGAGACAGATAACAGTGATGAGGACCAGGCAAAGGTACCAGATTTTTTGCCGAGATTTTTCCCCCCACTTGTTGTGTTTTTATAACCTCTACATTTACCCAGCCAATTGCTGAAGTCGTTTGAAGTCCGTGACAGTATAACGGTGCTTATTCCCCTCCCTTTTCTGCACATCGAGGATTCTTTTTTTTAAATTTTAGATTGCCTCATTTTTTTCTTCAGCCATAAAAAGAATGGATCGTGACGTGTTGTAAGTAAGTACGAAAGTCGTCTGGATATATGTGGATGAGCTAAGATGACACTGGGTATTTTATGCGGCAGAGCCTGGTGACATTTTCTTTTCTGCGCCACCGTCGGCTTTTAGAGAAAAAATGGATCATTACCAGGAGGAGCAGTCGGTAAATCCTATTACCGCGCAGCACGGGACAGCGACCAACAGCGACTCCAACTTGGGCAGCGGCCTGACTGACCTCCAGCCACCTGCTTACTTCAAACTGGAGTTCAGGAGAAACGCGGTGACCGATGACTACAAAATAACATCTCAGGTCCTTGGCCTGGGAATCAATGGCAAAGTACTGGAGTGTTACTGCAAGAAAACAGGAGAGAAATGTGCGCTCAAGGTTTGTGACTGTGCCTGCCGCTTTATTTTGTTGTTGTCGCTGGAAAGAAAGAGAACAGCCATCAATTATTCATTTCCCCACAGTTGCTGTGGTCTGCACCGTGTAATGGTGACTGGAAATCTGTGCAAATATCCTAATGTCGTTTTATCTTCAGGATTTGATGTAAACTTTAATGTGCGGCAGCTTCAAATTTCTTAGAATGATATGATACACATGAACCAGGGATGGATGGAGGAGTAACCTGAAGCAGATTTGCCTTTTGAACTACCCAGACAGTAGTTGTGTCTCACACGCTGTTGTATGCTGTCTGTGATGCTGCTGCACAGCTTTTACTGTTGTGATGTTGTTATGTGGACAATGAGCTTCTCTGTTAAAACTTTATACCAGTGTCTCTGACATATAAAAAGGAAAAAAAAAAATCCCGCATTTTTCACTCATCCATGCAGCAATGTTGAGCCCACAAAAGCTTATGTGTTTGGAGAAATGCAGCTCTAAAACTACTTTTAGCTGCTCTCTTATTCACAAGGCTGTCGCCAGATTGGGTTGCTCCTCATGTTTGATTTGGCAGATTTTCACGCAGGATGTAATTCCTAATGCAACTCCCAAGGAACTGGTGTTAATTAAATAAACAGCTGGCTATGGGATTGCAGGAAATCCTTATAGAATTAGGCAGGAAGGGCAATCACTCCAGCTCCTCCACGTCTTTTCTTTGGAGGTGATGAAATAAGTGGTATTGTGTGAGTGGCAATGTATGTTGATGTGTTACCTTCCTCCTTCGGCACTCAGCTTGCATTGTCACAACTGTTGGGATATGTGTGCTGAGTGCAGCTTTAAAATCCTGACTTTTATTGCTCCGTCTGGAATAACTGCTCAGCAAACAGCGGTAATTTAATGCCTTTAATTTTGCCTGCCTTGAACACTGATTTGCATTTTAAAGCATTTCATTATAACGTTTAGAACATTTTGTCACGTTCAACAGATTCTCTACGACACTCCCAAAGCTCGACGGGAGGTTGAGCTGCACTGGCGAGCTTCCGGAGGTCCCCACATTGTACGGATACTCAGCCTCTATGAGAACATTCACCATGGGAAGAAATGTCTCCTCATTGTTATGGAATGGTGAGAATGAACACACTGTTTTTTGGCACCTTAAAGTAAAAGCAGTTGCTTAAAAATGGCTTTTACAGATATTGGAGAACAGTTTGTGAATCTGATTTAATCAACAGACTTTTCAAAGTAAATAAATGGTAAATGGCCTGTATTTGTATAGCGCTTTACTAGTCCCTAAGGACCCCAAAGCACTTCACACATGTGATTCACACACTGGTGATGGCAAGCTACATTGTAGCCACAGCCACCTTGGGGCGCACTGACAGAGGCGAGGCTGCCGGACACTGGCGCCACCGGGCCCTCTGACCACCACCAGTAGGCAACGGGTGAAGTGTCTTGCCCAAGGACACAACGACCGAGCCAACCCTGGCTCGAACCGGCAACCTTCCAATTACAAGGCGAACTCCCAACTCTTGAGCCACGATCTCCCCTAATCATTTTCTCATTTCACTGATTAATCAATGGTGTTTTAAACACTCCACAATTTTGACAACTCATTATAAGTTCACTGAAGAGTGGTTTGAGTGTGATTATTCGTACAAACAGCCAAAATTAAAAAATGTGAGTTTATGTGAGCATGTGTATTATTCCTTTGTGTTGTTATTTTGCTTCCTGTTAAATTTTAACTTGTTAAAACAGTTCAACTAAAACTCAAAGTGGACGCAACAAAAGAAGTAATAAAATAAAATGAATATAAATATAAATAGCTAATAATAATAATAACTGAATCCATACAAGTCTAAGAAATGGTGGTCAAACAAAAACCCTCAAGACTGAACCCGCCTGAGCAGTTAATAGTCAGCACAATGACTTGCTTTGTTATAAAACCGTGATTGCCAAGAGTACCCTCACTGCCCCAGTTCTGATCTCTTTGTTAATCTTGTCTCAGCATGGAGGGAGGGGAACTGTTCAGTCGCATTCAGGCCAGAGGGGACCAGGCTTTCACAGAGAGAGGTGGGTTCGAGTTCACATTTAACAGTTTCATTTAATGGTTTCTGCATTGCAATCTGTGCTACCATGTCTCTCATATCCTCCAATCAGAGGTGTCGGAGATCATGCATGACATTGGCATGGCCATAGAATACCTCCACCACATGGACATTGCTCACAGAGATGTAAAGGTACTGTAACGCTGTTCTTTCAGAAGCTGCTGAAGACCGCAAGTCTGGTTAAAATATGCCACATTGCATTAAAAAGTTAACCCTCCACACAGCAAAATGATGCATACCCAGAGTTTTAAATACAATGTCAAGTGTACATATGTAATAAGATGAGGGTGACAGACCAATCTAACTTTAGTGTAAAGTTGATGCACTGAAAAAGGCCACTGCGTGCGTATTAGTGAGATGCAGCAGTACGCTGTGCCCTGGAAATCATTTACACAGTTAATAAAAGAAATAAAAGAAAAGATTTTATAAAACACAGTCAGATTAAAGAGTTTTTTCTTGTTTGTTATTCTCACCACAGCCTGAAAACTTGCTCTACACAACTAAAGAGAGCAACGCTACTCTAAAGCTGACTGACTTTGGCTTTGCTAAGGAGATGACGCTACACAACTCCCTGCAAACTCCATGTTACACTCCGTATTATGTTGGTGAGTGTCCAGAGAAATGTGATTGCAGGAGTTTCAGGTGCACTGCGTATTTGTCAGTATTAGAGTCAAAATTTGTTTTATTTTATTTATTTATTACTGTCTCCATGTGTGTCTGCATATGATTGACGTTTTTGTGTGACTCTGCCCACATTATCGTGTTGTATCTGTTTGCCCATTCAGCGCCAGAAGTGCTTGGGCCAGAGAAATACGACAAATCATGTGACATGTGGTCTTTGGGTGTAATCATGTACATCCTGTGAGTATCTTGTGCCTCTCTAATTAGCAATACTAATGACTAAAAATCAATTCTGCATAGTGCAAAATTAAGAAAGTGTGAAGTTCTCTTCTCTTCCCTTCCCTTCTCTTCTTTAGACTCTGTGGGTTTCCTCCATTCTACTCAAACACAAGCCAGGCCATCTCTCCAGGCATGAAACAGAGGATCAGGTTGGGCCAATATGAGTTTCCGAACCCAGAGTGGGCAGACGTTTCTGAGGAAGGTCAGACTAACAGAATAACTAAACAATACTCGCACTGCTGTGAAATAAAATGCAAGTAGAGAGAGGCTCTAAATGAATATGCTATTGGTCCACAAAGTGTAAATTACTGTGCCACGGCGCTTCAGCGTTCAGCCTCACTTTAATCCTCGCACGCTCTAACAACATAATCATGTGCTTAACAGAGAGAGTGGAAATGACCTGCATAAACTTTCCGCTGTAATAGGAACCTCATGGTTTGCAACACTAGATCTCTGTATGTTTAAACTTCCCATGGTGTTGACTGTGTGTATCTTTTTGTTCTCTTGAGTGAAGAGGATTTTTTTTTTTGTTCTTTTACATTAGTTCTCGTTTCCAGTTTCCAATCACTGAAGAATTGAAAACATAACACTTCTCAGAGCTTTAGAGCTTTTGCAACATAACAACTGAGATAAACCCATAAACATATCTTTATTCCACATGCACGTTGCCCTGTTGGATTGCTTGACTGTGTTTCTTATTGTTACCTGCAGCCAAACAGCTCATCATTCAGTTACTGAAGACAGACCCCAGCGAGAGGATGACCATTGGACAATTCATGAACCATCCTTGGATTAGTGTGAGTTAACACCTGTGCCCGTTCACCTCTGTGTTTTCTCCCAGTGCACACGCTGATGTGAATGTTTTTATTTAACAGCAATCCATGGTGGTCCCTCAAACACCTTTGTACACCTCTCAGGTTTTGACAGAGGACAAGGAACTATGGGAAGATGTAAAGGTGAGAATTGTATTTACTTCAGAATCTGGCCACAAGATGGCAGTAGAGCATTATCTCAGATTTAAAGCACAAACTGTGTCTTCCAACAGGAGGAAATGACCAGTGCCCTGGCCACGATGCGCGTAGACTACGACCAGGTGAAGATCAAAGACTTGGATACATCCAACAACCCTCTGCTGAAGAGACGCAAGAGGCCCGTTCCTCCGGGAGCTGACGGCGTGGAGGAAGCTGACAGAAGGGATGGAGATGGATCAGGAGTGTGTAACAGTCAGAGAGAAGTATTGTTTTCTGAAGAACATGGTGACATGATCACGGAAGAAAAGTAGCATTAAAACCAGAGTAGCAACATTTTCCATCCACATATCAATTGTTGTACTTTACTCGTTTTTTGTGTTCCTGCACTCACTTTAAAGAATGCCATTTATTTTTAACTCTCACTACTTAAAGTGAAATAAAATGTTGTTTTTTATCTTTTACATTGGTGTCCTGTCACATTTTACATGGCAGCTCATTTTATACAGAACACTAAGAGACTTGGAAACTTTACATTTATTCTGATTGTGAGTAAAACAAGAAAAAGCATTAACCTTAGAGACTTTGTATAAGCATTAGGAACTGATTTTCCTCTCTGTAACCAATGAAAGACGATATATGGAAGCCATAAAAGATAGTCACTTAGGCAAGATAACATACAACTAATTCCTCTTTACAAGTCACAACTGTTTACGTGGTTATGTCACTGCGCTGTCAAGGGACAAATAAACCTTGAGAAGTGAAGGTGTTAACATGGTTCATGCTCGTTATTAATCTTGCCAAACATTTCCGCTTGCTTGAAATGTCTTTTTCTTTAACAAGCCGTTAGTGTTTCCCGTTGTACTTGACTTCAAGATAAACGTTGTTCACTTTTTCACTCTAAAGTGTGCAAAACCAAAACACAAGCTCTCTAATTTGGACTTGGATGTTTCATGTACACAAAAAACCATTAGAGAACATAATTATACTAACTACTGAATCTTAAACAATGTCAGATTTGAATGCCTTCTACTGGGATTTCTATGTGAAACCCTGATCTCATGCAGTGCAGTCAATATTTTTCCACTGGAAGGGTCGTGGATTTAAAGCAACATGGAAATGTAAATATTCAGGGAAATTAAAATAATTTCCTTGGGTACAGAACTTAAGCAAATGTATGAATATAGGTGTTTAGTTTTGTGTTTGTCTTTAAAAGTTGTGGCCCAACCAGAACAGGGAACTGCCTTCCTTAAAAACGACTTTATTTACACTTCATCCCACATATGGCTAATAAGTACTCCTTTGTTTCACTGATGATTGTACAAATGACCTTTGAGTATGCACCCTCAATCATTTGGTTACTCGAAACTGAGTGGATACATGGCGTCCATAAATTTGCATGATGACATGCTGTAATGGAAACGTTACCATTCAAACTATGGTTAGGATCAGGAAGTGGTGTGTTCAGGACAGGTCCAAAGAAGACGCATCTGGAACAGGAGGAAAGGCGAGATTAAGAGGGTTGAGGTAAGGCGAGGAAAACAGGAGTCTCTGTGATGGCTCTGTCTCTGATTACTGGAAGTCAGGTTATAAGTGACCTCCTGACGATCCGTGAGAAAGGCGTCCTCATCGGTCTGCTGGAGCCGCAGTGTAAGGTACACTTTATTAATTTGTATGAAAACAGCTGAAAAATATGATGGAAAAATAAATAACAAGGCTGAGAAAATTGAATGTGTTTTAAGAGGGTAAAACACATCCCCACCATCTGTTAAATTCTACATGATGATAATATTACTGTAGTAGCTCGATGTGCTATGATGTATGTCTCTGAATCATTTCGTGCTCACACTTGTTTTCATGTTATCATCTGCTGCTATCAGAAGGAGCCTGGTGTATGAATGGGCCATGTGTTAGAGCTGTTTTAGTTTTACATTTAGCCTAATCTTGTCATCCGCAGTCTCAGATGCTTGTTTTGTCTGGAACCGTTGTGTTCCCAGAGCATCAACCACAATATTTAAATATTATTTAAATACCACTCCGCAGTAAATAAATGAGGCATTTTTAATTTTTTTTCAGTGTTAGGGCTTTAGACAGTTATTTAATTAAATTTTAAATTCTGTGGTGTATTTGTTACCTTCCCTCTGTTTTCTTTTGCTTAGAGAGTAGAGGCTGTGTTCGTTCTGGCCAAAACATTTCTGTTGTGAAACACAGAGGCACTGTGCCGGCTCTCTCTGGTGTAGATCAAATTAGGCTATGCACAAACAGACTCTCCCAGTTCATTACGTTACACTGACATTATCACTACCAAGAAGAAACAATTTGGGGAAAAAAGACACAGAGCAGACCCAGAACAGAGACACTGATAGGAAAGACATCGTCTTCATGGTGCAGCCATAGATGGCCATGTGACTGGCAACATAAAAATACTAAATGGAGAAAAAAAAATCACAAAAGTGAAGAAAATACATTCTTTTATATCCTCCAACAAAATTCTAGGGTTAACTTCCAGAGTTCACAAATACATCCTTTATAGTGGCATGTAAATGGTTAATGACCCCTTTTTAGGGCACTATAAAGTTCTTGTATCCTGTGTTTATATGCACACAAACTGCATTGCGCCTGGTGTTGTGAACTGGCACTCAGTAGATAAAACTGAAATATGTTAAACTGAAAATTTGTAGTGTGAAGAACACACATCCAGATCCAGGAGGGCCAGTATAGCCTGACTAACACATTCTAGACAGATGTAACTGTGTCATCAGCACAACAGAGAACATTAGATATCTTGATTAATTTCTTATACAGGGAGTGCACTATTATTAGGCAAATGAGTATTTTGTCCACATCATCCTCTTCATGCATGTTGTCTTACTCCAAGCTGTATAGGCTCGAAAGCCTACTACCAATTAAGCATATTAGGTGATGTGCATCTCTGTAATGAGAAGGGGTGTGGTCTAATTACATCAACACCCTATATCAGGTGTGCATAATTATTAGGCAACGTCCTTTCCTTTGGCAAAATGGGTCAAAAGAAGGACTTGACAGGCTCAGAAAAGTCAAAAATAGTGAGATATCTTGCAGAGGGATGCAGCAGTCTCAAAATTGCAAAGCTTCTGAAGCGTGATCATCGAACAATCAAGCGTTTCATTCAAAATAGTCAACAGGGTCGCAAGAAGCGTGTGGAAAAACCAAGGCGCAAAATAACTGCCCATGAACTGAGAAAAGTCAAGCGTGCAGCTGCCAAGATGCCACTTGCCACCAGTTTGGCCATATTTCAGAGCTGCAACATCACTGGAGTGCCCAAAAGCACAAGGTGTGCAATACTCAGAGACATGGCCAAGGTAAGAAAGGCTGAAAGACGACCACCACTGAACAAGGCACACAAGCTGAAACGTCAAGACTGGGCCAAGAAATATATCAAGACTGATTTTTCTAAGGTTTTATGGACTGATGCAATGAGAGTGAGTCTTGATGGGCCAGATGGATGGGCCCGTGGCTGGATTGGTAAAGGGCAGAGAGCTCCAGTCCGACTCAGATGCCAGCAAGGTAAATGGTAATGGCCTGTATTTATATAGCGCTTTTACTAGTCTCTAAGGACCCCAAAGCGCTTTACATATCCAGTCATCCACCCATTCACACACTGGTGATGGCAAGCTACATTGTAGCCACAGCCACCCTGGGGCGCACTGACAGAGGCGAGGCTGCCGGACACTGGCGCCACCGGGCCCTCTGACCACCACCAGTAGGCAACGGGTGAAGTGTCTTGCCCAAGGACACAACGACCGAGACTGTCCGAGCCGGGGCTCGAACCAGCAACCTTCCGATTACAAGGCGAACTCCCAACTCTTGAGCCATGATCCACGTGGAGGTGGAGTACTGGTTTGGGCTGGTATCATCAAAGATGAGCTTGTGGGGCCTTTTCGGGTTGAGGATGGAGTCAAGCTCAACTCCCAGTTCTACTGCCAGTTTCTGGAAGACACCTTCTTCAAGCAGTGGTACAGGAAGAAGTCTGCATCCTTCAAGAAAAACATGATTTTCATGCAGGACAATGCTCCATCACACGCGTCCAAGTACTCCACAGCGTGGCTGGCAAGAAAGGGTATAAAAGAAGAAAAACTAATGACATGGCCTCCTTGTTCACCTGATCTGAACCCCATTGAGAACCTGTGGTCCATCATCAAATGTGAGATTTACAAGGAGGGAAAACAGTACACCTCTCTGAACAGTGTCTGGGAGGCTGTGGTTGCTGCTGCACGCAATGTTGATGGTGAACAGATCAAAACACTGACAGAATCCATGGATGGCAGGCTTTTGAGTGTCCTTGCAAAGAAAGGTGGCTATATTGGTCGCTGATTTGTTTTTGTTTTGTTTTTGAATGTCAGAAATGTATATTTGTGAATGTGGAGATGTTATATTGGTTTCACTGGTAAAAATAAATAATTGAAATGGGTATATATTTGTTTTTGTTAAGTTGCCTAATAATTATGCACAGTAATAGTCACCTGCACACACAGATATCCCCCTAAAATAGCTAAAACTAAAAACAAACTAAAAACTACTTCCAAAAACATTCAGCTTTGAGATTAATGAGTTTTTTGGGTTCATTGAGAACATGGTTGTTGTTCAATAATAAAATTATCCCTCAAAAATACAACTTGCCTAATAATTCTGCACTCCCTGTAGTCTGCAGTCTTGTTATTCCATGTTTTATGTGGTATGGATGAGGCTGACTTGCCTGTGGTGAGAAAAAGCTGCTTTGAAAGTGCATTTTGAAGTACAAACTACTGACAGTAATTTATGATGCAGCATGTCACTGCCATTGTGGATTGCCTGAGACACGTACAGATGGTTCTTTTATGGTGCTTCCTTCCTTTATTACTTGTGTTTGCTTTCAAAATAAAATTGTCTTTCCAAACAACGTTAAGTTCACTCACCTGCTAACACAACCTCACCAACTGCCCGTCCATACTCACTCCACACACCTGGCCCAAGTGTACTACTGCACAAGTACAAGAGACATAATTATACAATGCCTAGCCCGTGCTCCACCCCTCCCCTGTCGCTGAGCCAAACCCACATGCCTCCACCACAATGAAAGACAATTATAACAATTTATAATGCTAAAACATTCAAATCACAACAAAAATCGACAGAAACTCTAATATACATGAACTGACACATTAAATGCCACTGAAAAAGTGCAAGGTTCCAGGTTTGGTTTCATTAAAAGAAAAGGAAAGACATGTTGATTAGTACAGCTTAAGAAGACTAAAGAGTGCAGGCAGGGTAGAGTGGGTGGAGACGAACGGGGTGAGAGATTTGTGACAGCAGGATAGCTAGCAGTGCAAAGAAAGGTTTACAATATGGGACTTAGACCTGCTATTATATGCGGTGTGGAGAAAGTGGAACAAACAAAAAAACAGGAAGTGGAGAAGAAGGTGGCAGAGCTGAGGATGCTTAAACTTTCATTGGGAGTGACCAGAATGGAGAAAAGGTTAGAGAAACAAGGCAGAGATGGTTTGGACACATGCACAGGAGAGACGGTAGACAGTGGAGCTGCCAGGCAGGAAGAAAAGAGAAAGACTGTAGAGAAGCTTCATGGATGTAGTGAAGAAGGACATGCAGAGCGTTGTTGTGACAGATGAGGAGAATGATAGATCAGCTGTGGTGATGATCTGAAAGAAGACAAAGTCTCTACTCAAGTGCATTAGCTCTCAAATAAAAACAAATGTTTTATTAGTGGCGGTAATCATTGTCATGGATTTGCCTAAGGCAGTGGTAAATCTATAGGGCTGAGGTTTGGATTTTGCATTCTGCAGACAGTAAGCAGCTTCCACCACTTTTCACATGCACTACACATAGGTCAAGTGTGTATGGTTATCTGCCTGATGTATACATTGCCTGGGCCTTTGCAGGGTTAGAGGAAGAGAGGTGTAACGCAGGTCAAATTACACTATATTACAGTATTCAGTTCAGTTTAGGTGTATTTATATTGCCCCAAATCACAACAACAGTTGCCCCGGGGTGCTTTAAATTGTAAATTAAAGACCCTACAGTATTACGGAAACCCCCACAAATCAAGCAACCCCATATGAGCACGCATTTTGCAACATGGAGAAGAAAAAAATGTACTTTTGACAGAATGAAACCTCGAGCAGAACCAGGCTCAGAGAGGGAAAGCCATCTGTCATGACCAGCTGGGGGTTGAGAGGTAAGAGAAGAGAAAAGAAAAGAGATTGTAGGGAGGCAGGACAAAACACAGACTAAGGGAGAGAGAAGACAAAAAGGCAATGGCATGCTGCAGTGGTAATATAAACACGTGGGCAGTGAAAAGAGGTCAGTGGAGTGAAGAAGTGCTCAGTGCATCTCTGAGAGCTTCCTTTTCCCCTCCTGCATGGCAGCTCTATCTTTAGCATCCTTTGTCTAATATAGCCACTATCCCTCCTCTGCATGTCTCGTCATTTCAGTGCACAAAAACTATTTAAAAAACAATAGCTACTCTATTTGAATCACCACGCAAAATTGAATGTAGTTGAACAACCAGAAAGGTATTACAAAATGTAGTTAAACTACAGGATTGCTTAAAAGTAGTCCACTATTACTTAATTGAGGCAACAGAAAGAAGTTAAATGGAAAAGAGGTCATCAGTCTCTGAGGAGCAGCATCTTTGCTGTAAAATGAAACTAGAATGACTCAAAGGGTTACTGTCAGTCAGGAAACGTGAGCTGGTTTCGAAAGTAAATGATTTCTTTTTTTAAAATCGGATGTTACTCGTTAAAGAAGTGATTGTGTAGGAGGACGGGCACACAGTGTCTTAAGGACAGGGTTAATGCAAAATATCAGAAAAACAAACCAAAGCTAACTACACAAGATCATTACTGAAGAGACATTTACACAAAGACACCAGGAAGTTGCATTAAATTGGCATTTTCTAAAATTTAACACCAACATAAACATGCCTGTGCCTTGTACGATAACTTAATAAATTGCACATCATGTATTGATGCACTTTGGACCACTACTGTCTATTTCAGCTGATGAAATCTACAGTAGCACAGATACTACAGGCCATAAGTACACCAGGGGAGAGGCCAAGCTGGAGTCGCTTAGAATGCGGTGTGGTGTGTCTCATTGAGGATTCGTCCATGCATTCCTATTTCCTGCGCTTATACTGCGTCAAGGTAAAAAGAACATCATTACTGCTCACATTCACTCCAACCACTCAAACTAGCACATACGCTGAAACGTGCACGCTGCTTCCAACATGGCACAGCACGGGGCAGCTTGAAGTGTTTCCTCTACTTTGAGGTTTCCATCAGCAACAATAGGAAGACTCATCCAGATGGGTGCGCCTGTGCTTTTCCTTGTGCAACTCTAACAACTCCTCTCATTCTGAAACACAGCGTGCCAAGTTACTGTGGGAGCAGGAAATGTACATTCCATTCAAGTACACTGCAGCGCGTGCTTTCTTCCATACTTTCCCCGCAGATGTAAGTGATCCTTTTTTGGCATCGGTGCGTGCCTTATGATTATCAGAGTGCCACTTTTAGGTTGGATTTGGGTAGATTTGCTGTGTTTTCGCAGGACTACCAGGTAGGCGTCAACTTTGCAAATGAGACTGAGGCAGAGGAGTTTCATCATACCGTGGAGGCTGCTTGTGGTTAGAATAACAACAAACATCTACACGTATAAATGCTCTCAAAGGCTCAGCCCTGTCTCGTATTTTAACACAACCTTTTTATTTACAGAAAAGATGACCAGCATGATTGAAATGACAGCAGTGGGCAGTTCAACGAGGGAACTACCTGCTGATGATTTGGGGTGAGAAAGATAGCACCACTTTGTGTCTTTAGAGTGAAGGAAAGAGCGTTAAAGAGGTGGTTCACAGTTTCATGTTTTTTTTTGTTCTCTTTAGAATTGAGCCATTGCACAGTTTGAATGGGGAGAAAGATCTCCCTATGGACACATCTTCCACGACAGCTCCCCCAGCTTCAAGTTCTGTATGTCAAACTCTACAGTGAATTGTTAATGGGGTAACTGTTAAGCTGTTATTAGTCATTAATAATAGCATGATAAATGACTCCCTGTAATGTGTCTGCTTGGTGAAGTTTAAGGATCTTGACCCGGCTATGAGGAGGCTGTTGATGCAGGCCAAACTCACTGAAGAAGACTTGAAAGGCAAAGACGTTGCCGAAGCTGTTGACTGCATCATCAACAAGTTTGGAGGGCTGAAGGCTGTGCAGAGAGAGCTGAGAAACAGAGGTACTATATCCCGTAAAGTTTATTAGAATGTGCAAATATTTATTTACGTTTCAGTTTCAGGAAAAATACTATTGTGTATGTTTTTAAGATAGTGTTCTGTCATATGCACATAGGCCCAATCTCTCAGACACTGCCAAGATCTGCAGGGGCTTCCATCTATCTGAAGAAGGGCCCGTTGCCACCGGTCCCTTCCATCAAAGACAGCAACACTTTTCAACAAACACCAAAGGACATGGACACGGTAGACAAGAGTCAGACAAACACTCCGATTCCTTTCTCTCCAGCTCCCCCTCTGCCAGCTCCTGCAGAGAGGATCAGAAAGAGTGCAAGTTTCAAAAATGTAAGAGGAAAAGATTTAATTGAGCATCCATACTTGTACACAGTGGGTGGGCTGAACAAACTTTTGTGTTTTGTGCTGTTAGGCTGGCTCCCGAAAATCAACAGAGACAGGCGACTTAATCCTGGCTGCACTGAGAGAAGCGTTCAAAGAAAAACGGATGCTTCAGCAAAGCAACAGCGAAGATGGAGAACCTACTGTTACTATTCCTAATACTAACCAATGACGGACTCTTTTAAGAGATCTTGGAAGTCAGCTTGTACTGTAAATGTAGTTAAAGATGCGGCTTTTTGGCTTTGATTGTCAAACAAAGCAGTGGTCAGATTAAATTGCCATAAGGCAATGTGATAAAATGAAAAGCCACATTGTGCATTTAAAAAAATCTAAAATGCCATCATATCAGTACAGTATGCTAAGTCTTAGTTTAGAGTCATAGATGTCACTAAATTAGATAACGAAGGGCCAGATTTTCACTTCCCAACGTAAATCCCAGCTTCCTTAAATGTAGCCTACAGCAATATAAAGATAAGTGAAGAAACAGATGAATTTTTAACCACTCTTTTGCTTTAGTTTCTTTTCTGGAAATCTAGCTGAAAGTGTATGTTTTACTTGTCTTCTGTATAACATTTGTCATGACTGTAATGTTTATGTTTTTAAAAATTCAGATTTCTGTGGGGTGCAATGTTTTATGTATTTTTTTAAGTGCTTTAATATACACCCATGGTGGAACCTAAAGAATAAACAAAGTGGAGCATGCATTATAGACAAGATATGGAAGCTCTGTTGTCCTGTACTATAACAGCACTGCCTGCTCTCAGTTTGCTTACAATTCAGTAAAATCTGACTTTACTTATCCAGACATAAACAGTGTAAAGGCCAAGGTCAAAGTCGACAAACAGGTGAGTGTGGTAAGTAATTCAGTCAATCGCAAAGGTAAAACCCCCTCTGTTCTTTTCAGTGATCTTAACTTTTTGTTTTAGATGCTTTTCATGTGCTATTTGTGGACCAGTGTTTTTAAAAAGGAGATTTGGGAATAACCTCATGCAAACAGATATTTAAACCAATGTGAAGCGGTGTTTCTAATGACCCCCCGCCTCCCCCATGATACTATATTTCTAAATCTCAAAAGAAGAAAATGAAATGGGGTTAAGGCATTCTTAGAAGTCTTTTTTCGTGGAGAGGTGGGGATGAAAGTGGATGAGCGCTAACGCAGAGAGGTGGGTGTGCGCACGCTCCCGCAGACTGAGTCGCTTCATTCATTTGAGTGGCCGAGCTGCTCTAAGCGTACTGCGCTCACCAAGCTTGGAAAAAGAGGCTTTTAAAACGGGGATCATGAGAGGCTCCTACACTCTACGAAACGCGCAGGAGAGGCCAGGTAGGACGCTGAGTCCTGTCTTTTATTTTTCGTTATTTGCTCCTTTGTACGTGACGTTGCCGCGAGTCTTCGCTGGCACGGAGTACAGAGTGTGCTGTACGCGAGCAGCTGGGCTAACGGGCGGATGAAGTAAACAAGTGTGTGTCACGTAGGCTTGCTCCGGAGCTGTCAGCGCTTTCAGCCGTGCAAATGAGAGAGGCAGACTGCGGGGCAAGCCTAGGAAATGTGTAAAAGACGACTGCTTTCAGATGTGTTGCAGTAAATAATGGATTTTTGTTACTTTTTAAGCGCTTTGGCAGCAGCTTCCTGCAGAGTCGCTGCAGCTGTTGCTTAGCTAGCTGCACGCAGCTGACAGCCATGGGAAGGAGAGCAGAGACTTGTAAACACTGTTATCACAGGGTCATAGTAGTTATGTGTCAAACATCACGCCCCAGACTCATCCCTATTACTGCCTGGGCTGTGATTCGGGAATATCTGATACATTTCTGGAGCTGGCCGTTGATCTGGCACTGCTCAAACTTGAAAAAGTTGATGGTTAGGAGATAATTATGAGCATACTGGTAAAAGGAGAACTTCTGGCTCTTCTTGCATTCACTATGACCTCCGGGTAGCTTTGTCCTCTCCCACGTGGCTTCATAAGTTTGTAATCCATTAACCAGTTATAAGAAAACGTCACTCTTGCTGTTACACCAGGGTCTCAGAGACGTGTGGATCTTTATTAGCAATAACTCGATGATTTCCAAAAGCACCTCCTGTGAAGTCATTTTATTAACACGTGCTGTGCAGCAGGGGATGGTGCACAAGGACTAAAAGAGATTTCAAAGTCTAAACAGACGCTCAGGTTTTGTCACTCACTGCTTACTACTCTGTTTACTTCTGCTTGCTGTTCTTGTTCCTCCATTACTCGTTTGCACTTGTGCATAACAGCGGCACTTGGCCTAGTTCTAATGCTATGTCCCATATAATACAACGTTTATATTTACTATAGGAACAGGCTCTTATGTAATTCTATTAGTCACGTATCCCGATGAGTCTGTTTAACGTTGCATAAGACACCATGCAGGCAGGTACACAGATTTCCTGCCGTTCTTTTTCGCAGCTGTGGTCACGGAGGTTTAAATGTGTGCAGGCTGAGCTGCTGTGGCAGGTGTACGAGGGATGAGCAGAGCTCAGGCTGCACTGGTGAGGAGACGTGCTTCACTGGCTGTCCTTATTATGCATAGACACAGAGTACACAGAGAGAGGTGGGGCTGGGCAGAAAAACAGGAAAATCATACTGGAGTCAGTCTATCTGTGTGCAGCTGATCTGTTTATACTGAGGGGGCTGTTTAGTGTGGCGATGGCAGCTGATGTGCATATTAAGCTGCCCTTGCTGTTTAACAATAATCACTGCTACTCAGAGTGGAGGGTTGGAAAGGCACTGAGTTGTCTTAGTCATGAGCACCAATATGTGGTTATAACTGCAGATTGGCTAGGAATATGTTCCAGCATGTGCAGCAGAGTCTTAACAGATTATATCATTATGCTTAGCCACAATAGCTGTAACTCCCGCAGGATATTTATCTCTGGGGCTCAGAGGCTGCCTCAGACGCTGCAATAAGACCGCCTTCTTTCACCATCCTTCTCTCTGTAATAAAATACCATAAAAAAATCTTTATATTTGGACATTTTCATATCCTCCAGATTGTGGCTCTAAATCCCTCTAGTCCCTTCTTAAAGGCTTGGTCTCACTGTCCCTGCACTTCCCTCTCCCTCCTGCCCTCCCTCTCTCCGTCTGCTCTATATCTAGGTGAAAGTTCACCCGCTCACACAGACTTGCAGCGAAGGCTTGATGCAGGCTGAGGCTGTGTCATGTTTATGCACTGAGTGTGCAGCTCCACAGTGCTCTAATCTAGCTGCTGTTTTTGCATGTGAGAGAATTCAACCTCAAGGTCGTTGGAGGTGTTTTTGATGTGCCTTACTTGGTCTTTGTTAATCACCCCCGGATGAAACGTCTCCTCTGTTCTGCACACTATTTAATTAAGTATGAACCGACAAAATGATTCTGGGTCACACCATTCATACAGATTAGTTACAAAGATATTACTCTTTTAATCTGTGTTAATTGACAAAAGCAGCACATTGGCAGCATATTTGAAAAGCAGAAACTATTTTTAGCTTCTCTGCTGTGAAGATTTGCTGATTTTTGCTGGCTTAAAGGTGATTGAAAAGGAATTTCAATCACCTTGAACACAGGAAATTGTGAGCAACATTTCGTGTGATTTTTCAGTCCTTTATCGGAGTCAAAATGGAATCAAATGCTTAATAAAGCAGACAAGACCACAGACTTTTAATAGCTTGACAGCTTCAGGCATTATCACTCTGTAGACAAATCCTTTCAGATGAGTCCGAAAATCAAACTCTGTCTTTTTAGGATTATCTTGTTGCCAATTTCCTACAGTCTAAAATGAGCCAGAAGGGCAAACACTGAGTAAAAGTACCCGAACAGGAATTTGATAATGGTCATTGAGAATTTCCAGCTTACCTCTTAAACAGTGAAACCATTGGGACAGCCTGGGATCAATTTCATCTACAATGTCATGTTCTCTAATGAATGCGTGTTTTTTACATGGTCAGCAGGAAGCGAGGTCCTGATGTGTAGAGGTAAAATAACCGGGCCTACAATGATATTCGGTTATGGAGTGAACATAATTTTTCTTCTGTATGATGCTTGATGCACAACACACATCCAGTGACATAAGGTAACTCCTCAGTGGTCGTCAACATTTCAAGGTGCTAAATATGAGTGTTTTGTATTTTTAAAATGTCTGTTACTCCCAATCAGCTTTTCCTTATTGTCATGGTGGTACTTGATAACCTTGAGCTACCCCTCCAGTGCATCTGCCTGCAGACCAACTCAGACTCCACCGTGTTGGATTGCAGATATCTATAACAGTCCTTGTTGTGCTGGTGCAGGAGGGGAAACTCTAACCAGAATCTGCAAGCTCACCACGAGCTACAGAGCAGAACAACGACTACCCAGCAAGTCCAAAGATGGTGGTGTTGGAGTCTATCTGAGGGAGGAAAGAAATCAGGGAATGCCTCAGCCGCAGGGATTGAAAATAGGCCAGGTCATCTTTATTCCATCACTCTTAATTTGGATCATATTCGGTTTGCAGGACGGTTTCATGTGTATTTAACAGATTTCAAAGCCATCTCAAACAAGCTGCTTCGAGCAAGAAGACAGAAAGAAAGTGTTCTCAAACCAAAGCAATCCACGTGAAATATGGGTTATAAAGGCTGCTGTTTGGCACTGGTTGTGTAAATTCGGGGTGAACTTTGGCCCACATTAGATTGGAATCTGTTACATATTCCTCTAAATGATGCTGCGGGTCAAAGCCTATATTTAGGGAAAGTAGGATCATAGTGGCCCAGAAACAGGACTGCCATCTGCTCTCGTCTGCAGCCCACATGAACAGAGTTTCAAATCCAGATACTTTTCACTTAGAGATCTTCTGAGATGTTTTTTGTGGAAGAAATTATGAAAGCAGAGGAGTAGACTTAGAACTTGTACATATACCAAATATTCATACATACATACAAAGAGTTTGTTAAGGATTATATTGAAAAGGTCAAATGTCTCGGGTCATTGCAGGTCATTAGATGCTGTATTTTAGCAGGATGAATTTAAAGACTAATTTATATAGTCGTTACTGGACATTATGTATTTGTTATTCATTTATAATTTACATTTATCAGATATGTCACTTGTGTTGTTTGTGCCATTCAACAGATTAAACTGACACAAACTTTCCAAGAACTCAGACTCTGAGTGATTGAAGAATAACTTTTACTGTCCCTAAAAGCCTCCCTAGGCTGTAGCATGCATGCTTGAGTGCTTTTATTTGCTTAGAAAGCCAAATGTTTGAGCATGTCTGTTGATTTCCTGAAGCCCTGAAGTGAAAGGCTGATGGGATTAGTGCTACTGACATGCTGACTGCTCTCAGACACTCCTGCCTGCTGACCTTTTGCCTAATGACCTCTGGTGACACTATAAACGTCTCCTTACAGATTTGTCCTCATTGTAGGGCCTGCTTTGGTGAAGCACAGCGCCCTCTGGTGTCAGAACCTTGGTATTATGTTTGGGCTTGTCAGCATTGAGGATAAACGATGATTACAGGATGTTATTGAACTGACATGACTCACTTATTACTTAAAAGTGCAATTTGAGTCTTCTGTTCATCTAAATTTGTCACTGAGTTTAATCTGGGGCTGCAGGATTGATCTTTTCCTGCCTCTGCAGGTTTGTGCTGCCGTCTGCATTTTCTCACAGGTTCCCATTTATTGTTTGAGACATAAAAACTGTCAAGCAAGCACATTGTGGCTTCTGACTTTGACTTTTACCCAACTTATTTTCAGTTTATTTATGATGCATGGTAGACTTTACTACAAGTGGGAGCAAATAACTGATTCACACCTACCTAACAGAAAATTAATCTGCTTTTTTTTGAGAAACAGAGAGAAATGTGACGATGTGTTGGTCCATGTCCATGTAAGTTATCCTCCTCAGACCCAAGCTCTTGGTTTAGATGCATTTTAGATGTGATGACTTCGATCTGATGAGAATATAAACTTATCCTATTTGAACAGGAATTTGTTACATTGTTACATAATTGCTGTAGCTTTTTAAAGTATTTGTGTTTTTAAGACAACACACTTATTTTTCAGTATAACACAATAATGTCTGTCTCTGTGTTAGCACTGAGCTGAAGTGGACATATGAGTATTGGACTGTTGCTGTATATGTTACCCCGGGCCATCTACTTAGTGCCTTTTGTGGTATTTCTTACTGTAGCTATGGTAATGTTACACAGCTCAGCTGCAAACCCTACCTCAGTGACTGTTTCACCCCTTAATTGATGGCTTTAAATTGTCTGGCAAAACTGAGGTGCTTGTGTTCGACTCTGTTTGCGGTCGGTCAACGCATTGGCCAGAAACATCAAATCCTCAGCTAATCTTGGAATTATTTTCCTGTCTTCAAGCTCATTCTTGTCAAGCTCAGTCTTTACTGTCACTCAGTAAAAAACCAGGCTCCTGCCTAAATACGCAAAGCTGCTAAGGCCTTATTCCAACCGTCGGCCTCTCTTGTTTAACTCTTTCACGCTCTTATTTTAAATCCAGAGGCGACTACACTTTGGAAGTTGTGGGGCTTAAACTTTGGAAAAGCCTTCCTCTTTATATCAGTTTGGCTGAATCAATGTTTTGTTTAAAACGACTGCTGAGAACTAGTTTTTCACAGGTTACCATTTCCTTAAATCCTTGGCCTGTTACGTTTGGCTAAGTAATCACTTATGCTTGAATCGTGTTTATGTACTACTATATGTTGGGGTGGTAAATACATGTTTTTTGACAGACTTTAAAGCTATTTGTAAATGTGTGTTTAAAAAGTAAAAATGAGGATAGTTATTGTTATTCTCCCCGCTTTTTATTTTATTTTTATCGTTTTTATTCAGAAACCCCTAGGCTTTTCTTATATCATTTTATATAACAGTAAAAATAAACTACTATAATTTGTCAAACACTAATACTATACTATACACTATATTCGTGTTTATTAACCAGTTTCATTTTTTGTTTAAAAAAATATTTACATCTATCAGACGGGAGTTTCTGCTGTATCTTACTTTGCTGGCAACTTTTGCCACATAAAGCATGTGTGATCAGTGAGGCCCGTGACTGGGTCGTGTAAAGCTGAGGCTTCCATGGTTTTCACGATGATGTTGAGCTGAGCTCCCAGTAGTCCGCATGCCCTTCTTTCCTGCCAATGCGCCTCTGCTATTGGCTGCTGGGCCTCTCGTTCCATTTCTGATTGGCTGAATTTCTTGCTGCATTCACTGCCCATGTGTGCTTCATGTGAACGCCTAAAACTTGTTTTTCACTTAGCGTCTTCGAATCGTACGTACGTAGTTCACGAGTCATTACGGTAACTTGTAAACAGTCGCGTTTTCGTGGATTTTTATTTTTATTTATTCATTTATTTATTTTACAGATGGTGGATGCTTGTGATATTTTCAACACAAGACGCTAAGAAAAATGCTTCACAAGACTTTAAAACACAAAATGGTCAATAAAAGCATTGAACTTTATATGACCCTGGAGTGAATTGAGTATTTGCTTGATTGAGTATTATTTGGGTAAACATTATAATGTCTTTGGAGTATTTTGTCTGTTATTAACACAATTGCATTTGAATTCTTCAAACTCAGTTGGGGCTTTTAATCAGACTTCCATACGTAAAATCATGGTGGGAGTTTTTATGTAAGCACCTGGGATAATTCTGTCACGTGAAATATGTAAATACATTAATTCACGCTAACATGGGGGAAAAGACGACTGAAGTATCGTTACAACCTGTACCGGGACATTTTGTTTTCTTCCCTCCCTCGCTTTCCGTTGCGCTCAGTATCCAGTCCTTACGGTAATGGGGAAACTGCTGTTCCTCAGCTGATATATAACATCTACCCCCCTGCAGAATTTCAGTGCCAGGCTGAAGCCCACCGCCTCAGTTTGTTTTCAGGAGGGTAACGTAAATGACCCAACAACCAGGATGATAGACAATCAAGAGTTTATGGTGGAGGGTTACCCGCGGGAGCTCACCCAGAACCCGCTCAGGAAGATCTGGATGCCGTGCAAAAACGGCCACATCGCTCATAGACGTGGTAAGATGCAGCAGGTCGTCAAGTGCGCAAAGGATGTGTGTCGGAGATGCGATTTCACTCATCTGTGGATATGATCTCGTCTCTGGTCTCTCTCATTTTTGTTCTGTTTTGCACGTTTAATGGTCAGATTTGTGCTTGAACTTATCACATTACGCACGGCTGGTTGAGATGTTGCGTGCTCGGTAATGTTGCATCAGGCGCATCTTGTCTGGTCCATATTTCTCCTGACATCACATGGAGGGAGTGGGATTCTGAATCAGCTTAGCATCCGATTACACAGGTCTACTCCTTATGTTAGTTTATCTTGTAGGTGTAACACTGGGCAGCTGTCCTGTAATGTGACCCGGGTGCTTGGTTTTGTGTCTGATTTTCTCTCTCACTTTTCTTTTCTTTTCTTTTTTTTTTAAATTTTTATTTTTTTTTTGCTGAGTCATTGTCTGCCTTCCCCAGAGCTGTTTTTAGTTTTAGTTAAAAAAGCTATAGCTAGTCCAGTCCCGTTTTGGCATAACACACATCAGTGACCATGTAATAATATTATGCTGCATGAGTCTCCTTAGACATCAGTCTAAATTTCCTTATCTCAAATGTATTTGATGTGTGGGACTGTCTCAGTACTTAAAGATATTCCTATGGATGTTTCTTTTTTTGCATAAGCAGGTTTGTTTTTTGTTTTTTTTTACTATACAAACAAATAACAGCAAAAAAGTAATTAGTAACAGAAGAAAAACGGAAATTGCTAGTTTAAGTCTTTAATTTAAACACTTGTTTGGGGCTGTAACAAGCAGACCTTTGTGGTGGTCCGGCTGAATTTCAGCCAAGTCTGAGTTGTTGCGACTGCAGAGCACAAACCTGGCATTTTCCCACCTAATTAATCAGCATGTGCTGCTGGTTAGCTATTAAGGAAACATGTAGGCTTCTGTTCTGCTGTCTGAATTTATGTGCTCCTCACAGCCTTGTTTTTAGCTGCACTTTTAATTGTCATTTTTTCTTGATCTCGGCCTGTCTCAGACATGTCGGAGCTGGCCCCCAGCTCTCATAGAGCCCAGCGAATATAAAATGCACATGAAGGATTTTAGTCTGAAGCACGTGGCTTGCATTTTTAAGCAGTCTCATTGTTTTACCTCATCTTTATTCTGTAGCAGTGCATATAACTGTTACAAAAAGGTTTTTTTTTCTCCAAAAAAGCCCTCTAGACTAATTGGTGTGAATTATTGTTGATCACCAAATTAAATACGTGAAAAGCTTTCAAATTTAGGTTCTTTTGTCTCTCCGTCTCTGTCAGTGTGCATGACAAACTGCCCGACCCTCATTGTGACAGTTGGACTTCCAGCCCGAGGGAAAACCTACATTTCAAAGAAGCTCACACGCTACTTAAACTGGATAGGCGTGCCAACGAAAGGTAGGAGCCACTTCCTTAAAATCATGCATAAAGTGACAACCAACATTGCTCTGTGTAAACATGACAGCCGTCTCTCAACAGAGTTCAATGTTGGCCAGTACCGGAGGGAGTGCCTGAAAATCTACAAATCCTTTGAGTTTTTCCGTCCAGACAATGAAGAAGGCCTAAAAATCAGACGGTGAGTCTGCACATGGTTTTCTGGATGTCATGCAAAGTTTCATTCCAACCATTCCACCAGACTTCACCCATGTGTTGAAGAGAGGAGAGCTCAGCTGTGAAATTACCTGCTGGGTTGATCGGTCAGATTGAAAACCTGGTAGCTTTCAGCTATTGTTGGCACATGGATTAACCGCTACAGCTTGGTTTCATGTATAAAATAATACATTTTTCTTTCACGATGTAAAAAAGAATGCAACAAAGACCTAGAATAATCCCAGTACAAATCTGAAATGTAAAAATCTCTCGTGTCTTTCCACAGTCAGTGCGCTTTGTCAGCTCTTAATGATGTACGGCAGTACCTGAGCGTCGAAGGAGGACAGGTTGCGGTGAGTCCTTGATTCTGTCCCTGACGTCTGCTGTAATCCTAGAACACAGAAGCATATAGAACGGCTGCATAACGCTTGTTTTTCCATGTTGTTTCAGGTCTTTGATGCCACTAATACAACAAGAGACAGAAGAAGGACCATCATCATGTTTGCTGAGCAGAATGGATACAGGGTATGTTTAAAGCAAGATGGTACTCTCTTTTTCTTTTTTTTTAAATTTGGATTGGCGACCTCAAAGTTAGCTGTATTTTCTTGTCATTTCAGGTATTTTTCGTGGAGTCTGTGTGTGAAGACCCAGAGGTCATTGCCCAAAATATAGTGGTAAGCTTTGTCTCCTTTCATTGAATCCAGTAGAATCAAAACAGGACTTTTAAAATTTCTGATATACTTCCCCAAACATTGGCTGCTGAGTCCAAAATAAAAATCAAGAGAAAATTTAGCTTTAAAGTTCATCAGAACTGAGTTGCAGACATAGACTTTATATGAAAGATGGATGTAGCTGCTGTAGCATCACCAGTTGGTTAGTGAAGTCCAGTTTTGAAGCTTCGTGTTGAGCTTTTTAGAGTGCTGCTGTCTTGGTGTTTTTGAAAACACACATCATGATCGAGGTGTGGATGGGACTCAGAAAACAAGGATGCTCGCCTGAATGGTTGTTTAGTTGTTGCGAATGAGTCTTGAACCAAGCTTAGACTTTAAACTAATTACGAAGGACTTCACTGAGGTTGCAGACCAAGACAGAGAGAGTCAGCATGAGGCAGCAAACTTCCCCTTCCTTGTTTCGTCTGCTCAAATCCTCTCCTTGTGTTTCCTCTTTGTAGCAAGTTAAGCTGGGAAACCCAGACTACATTGACTGCAACTCAGATGAGGCCATCAAGGACTTCATGAAGAGAATAAAGTGTTATGAGTCATCCTACCAGCCTCTGGATGAGGTTCTCGACAGGTGACGACATACAAAACATGAAAGCGCTGGATTTTCAGCTGGATTTCTTGCAACATGAGTTAAACATTAGGTTTGATGTATGTAGATGTTGAACAGTAGGCTCTGACACAGGGATGCAGTTCTCCTTTCAGTCATGAAAACAAATGGAGCTAGAGTTATTTAATTTTTTTGCATTTTGCACATTTTACCTCCATCTTGTATCTGGGCTTGTTTTGCTTCTTTTCACAATGGAGCGGGTTTCTGTCTTTATCAGCTGCACATCTGCTAGTTAGGTCATGGCTGCAGTTACATGAGAGGGTCAAATTTTAGGATAGCCCTACCCTCTCACAGTGTGACCCATCAGTAGAGTGGATGAAATCAGTTCAAGCTCACAGGTGATTAACAGAGCGTCTCGTTTCAGGGATCTGTCCTACATAAAGATAATGGACGTGGGCCGTCGTTACCTGGTGAACCGTGTCGTTGACCACGTCCAAAGCCGAATTGTCTACTACTTGATGAACATCCACATCACACCGCGCTCCATCTACCTCTGTCGCCACGGTGAGAGCGACCTCAACATCAAAGGACGCATCGGAGGAGACTCGGGCTTGTCTGACAGAGGAAAAGAGGTCAGTGTCTGTGCATGTAGAGAAAATATGGCAGCACATATGTTTCAAATCACCGAGTTGATCTAATGCATCCTTCTGTGGTGCTCTCTTGCTGTCCAGTTTGCCAAACGTCTGAGGAATTTCCTCCAGGAGCAAAACATCAAAAATCTTAAAGTGTGGACGAGCCAGATGAAGAGGACAATCCAGACCGCGGAGATCCTTGGAGTGTCGTACGAACAGTGGAAATCTCTCAATGAAATCGACGCTGTATGTCCACTTCAAGTTTTCCTTACTTCTGTGCAAAAGCCTCTGTGGAAACATTTGCGTAAATGCTGAACATGTTTCCTCCTCTCTTTCCACAGGGCGTGTGTGAGGAGATGATGTACGAGGAAATCCAAGAGCGTTACCCTCTGGAGTTTGCCCTGAGAGACCAAGACAAATACCGGTACCGCTATCCGAAAGGAGAGGTGAGCATAAAACTTATTTTTTAAGGATTTTTTTAGTTGTTTTTTGGTTGTTTGAGTTTTAAAAACAGTTGAGAGTGTGACTGATCTGCGAACCTCATTCAGTCATATGAAGACCTGGTTCAGCGGCTGGAGCCTGTGATCATGGAGTTGGAGAGACAGGAGAACGTTTTGGTGATTTGTCACCAGGCAGTCTTGCGCTGTGTTCTTGCATATTTCCTGGACAAGACTGCAGGTAAGAAGGACTCAAAGTAGGTCGTTTGAAGTTTTTTTTTACTTTACCATCAGAGTATGCTTTTTAAAGTCTGAACCTGAAACTTACTATAACTTTCTGTCACCACAGATGAGTTGCCTTATCTTAAGTGCCCTTTGCACACAGTACTGAAGTTGACACCAGTGGCTTACGGTAAGTTCTGTAAATTAAAAAGCTTCTAACACATTCACAGTTATGCATGAGTCCTTAAATTCTATTCTTGTTGTATCAGTGGAAACAAAATTTCAGCTTGTATTAACTTGTATCAAAAGCAGTTAGATGTAAACTTTAAGATAAATATTGTGAAAATGTTTATCAAAATAAAACACCTAAGATATTAAAAATGGCTTGCCAGTGGGCGTGAACATAATATTATATTTATTTAGTATATTTAAAAAGGAACATTTCTGTATTATAAGTAACTACTGTTTGCTCTTACGCAGGATGTGAAGTGGAGTCTTTCTGTTTAAGCGTGGATGCTGTAAACACACAAAGAGACAGACCAGAGGTAGGTGTCACCAGCAGCACTCAGACCTTTGACCTCACTGCATTTTTACCCTGTGACCCACAACTCAGTCAGGAGGCTCCCTCACACTGTATACATAGGAACCACGACAACAAATAATATTCAATGAAACAAATGATACTCAGGCAACATTATTACAAATGTTTAGATTCTCTAAGCTGCGGACTCAGTGGTGTTTCACACTCTTTAGAGAAAAGAATTCATATAAAAATAGAATTTAAAGTTTGGGTTAGTCTGTGTGCAGATTCAGTATAAGGTTTTAGGGTTTAGAATAAATTTGTGTCTGTATGTATTGCTGATGCTCATTTCACAGTACAAACAGGGGTCTGAGGGATCTGAATGGAGAATCCAGAGAATTGATCTGTCAGTTGGCTGTAATTTTGTATCTGCTGATATCTAATCTCAGAGCACAGGTTACCGTGGCGATATCCTGCTGAGAACAAGCCTATTCATTTATGTCCTCTGTAAAGGATGTTTGTTTTTGGTCTATATCTTTTGATTTATTTGAGCTATGCTAATAAATCCTGACTAGGGATGGGTATTGATAAGATTTTCACGATTCCGATTCCATTTTCGATTCTGTTTAACGATTCGATTCTTTATCGATTCTTTTTAAAAAAGGAGAACACTAAGGTCGATTAGCTTAGAACTTTGTTTTACATCTTCTCTTTGAACAAGATAGAAATTTAGAAGTAACATGGCCTTACAAACCCAACAGTGAGATCTTAAGAGATCCACAGCCTACGGCTCTTCAATGGGGTGTCACAGGGTCCCCAGGAAAAAAATTGTAAATGTAAAATAATAAAATAAATATTCTTCTGTAGCAATTACACAAGAATATAATATAATATAATAAGAATATAATATAAGAATGTTCCTGCCTACAATTAAACACATTCACTTACCAAAAATCGGGGGCATCTGCTGTGGCAAATGGGTTCAAGCCTTTTACCACAAACTTAGTCACTGCTCTGTGACGTTCGTCTATCCTGGCCTGAAAGGAGACGCTACCGGTAGACTGCAGCGACAACTGCCAGCGAGCGCCAGCCAGACTCTGTCTCTCTCATCATGGTCACCTAAATGCACAGTAATGGCAGGTTTTGTAATAAGGCAGATCGCACTAACATAATATGCACTGTTAGTTGATTATTTACCTGCCGCATTAAAGGGAGAGGACGTACAAACGTTACCGCTGCTGCTGGGTTGAGATTCACGAGTGTGGAGCGCAATTTGAAAACACGACATTCACTTAAGGTTATCGTGTGTTTTGTGAGCAAATGCTTTTGCATATTCGTAGTGTTTCCTCCCTTAAATGAAGTATCTACTTTGCAAGTATTGCAAGTTGCCCTGTTGTCATCCGTTCTCGTAAAGTTATAACCAAACTTTTGAGCGTTTGAGCCGCTTGGGTGCTGTGTTTCCTGCCAGGTAAATGACGCTCCGCAACGTGGTGACGTCATTTGGGGCGACTGGAATCGATAAGTGAACCGTTTTCAAAAATGGCAAACAATTCCAAGGAATTGAAACAGTGGGAACCGGTTCTCAACAAGAACCGGTTTTCGATACCCATCCCTAATCCTGACGTACTAAACAGAGGACATCCTGGGCTTTCCATTGATATCTCTGCTTTTAGCTCCAAAACTTCAGTGGGAAGAGGAATTTTTCCTCGGTTCTCAGGAGGATGTATTCCGATAAGAAGTGAACCATCTTCGTAGTAGAGAAAACAAGGGTTAACCAGTCCTGTTTCATATTACAGACCTTTGGTCTCTCAAGAGGCACAACACCTATTCCAACATTTACTGTAGCTCTCACTCCTGAGCAGGCCTAGCAGTCAGTACTAATCCGTCTGTTTCTTCTTCGCACAGCGATTGTAAACTTTCAGTCACACGTTCACTGTCCATCCTCCAGTGATCCCTGACAGCAATCAAAACAACTGTGAAGTCGCTTATTATTGACATTTCTACCTCTTTTCTCATCAGCTATGACTTTGATTTTTTCCTCAGGTTTGCCATCTGAGTAAGAGCTGCATGCTCAGATGGCTGTTTTAGGATAACTAAATGTGTGCGCTCATGAACATGTACCAATAGCTTTGTGTTAGATTGTGGTTGTGTGAGACGTTGTGCTTGGAGTTAGGCAGGTGGTTGATATTGTCAGAGTGAGTAAAGGGTATATGTATGCTAGTCAAAAAAAAAAAAAAGAACAGAAATTGCACGTTTTATGCTGTGAAGTACATTTTAAACTTTGTTTTAAATCTACTTTCTCAGCACATGATGTTTTCAGTTCTGGTTGATGTGTAATTTTACTGAACACAAGTGAACTCAAACACCTCAGCATTGATTCTGTTTACTGCAGTGGTCTCACTGACTGAAGTCGACCCATCCTGTGTTATTGTCTTAAGTTTAAATATGTAGCATATGTGTGAACACAATGAGGAAAAATAACAGGGGCACTCCTTCAGTGTTTTTAAGTTGTTTTAATGGCATTTCAAAAAAATTAATTTATTTCTGATTGTGGCTGATTTGTATTTACATTCATTATTTATAGACGTGTATTTTATGCATAATGTAGCTTGTTTTCTTAACTATGTGATGGAGACTGTTGCTTTAAATCTCAACATTGTTGCTGTTTCTAAAATGATTCAGTTTCACTATTGCGATCTAGGCTTTGTGTCTGTGCTACCAAAGTGAACATGTCAAACCTCCAATAGAACCAATAAGTTGTTTTACAAAAAATCAGCATTAATGTTAACTTGCTGCTGGATACAAAAAGACTGATTTAATTGAATGTAACATCATTTCTTCTCAACTGTGTTGAGTCTTGCACATTGTACACATAAAAATCTAGATAAAAATAAATATGTTTGTTTCTCACACTACTCTTTTGGTCAAAGTGTTTATTTTGTCAAAGCTAAATTACACAAAGTGATTACACTTAACGCAGAAAACTGACTTCAAGTCATACATGTCAGTGGGGTGTGGGTAGATGTCTGATCAGCGGCTGATATTAGCCGTTTGGCGATGTGTTAACACTGATGTTTATAACAGCTGAAAATTTTAAATTGAGTGTTGCTGTGGTATAATTTATGCATGGTTTCTCCACCAGAGGGCACTCTGCAGCTTCCCAGTTAGCAACACACATTTGGAAGGCCACAAATAACAACCAGCGGATCTGAGTAGCCGGGCTGAATAAATAACTACACATTACAAAAGTATCTGTCAGTGTACATGAATATTAGGTTTTTAAATAACCAAATATCAGTATTAACAAATCTGACATCAGTCGTGCTCGAGTGTGAAACAGAATAAGTTATCAATAATTAAGCTGTGTATCAATACTTGAAAATTAAATGCTAGCTTCTGTAATGCCCTTTTAACACACATTAAAAATCTGTTTGACTTTCGTACCGCTAAAGGCCTCTGGAATATGTTTTAATTATTTGAAATCAACAGTTTAAACAGATTTTTTTTTTCTTTTTCTTTAATGTCATCATTAAGAATCACTGTAGCTGCACTCACAAGGTCTGCTAGTACCACCTCATGAGACAATGGCTCATTCTTATACTGAATATGGAAATCAGGTAATTAATGAACAGGTGAATTAATGTAAAACTAAATGTAACTCAGTTTTTTCCTCTCGTCCCTCTTCCAGAATGTGAATGTGCAGCGCAGCACTGAAGACGCTCTGCAGACAGTCCCTGCTCACTTCTAACCTCCTCCACTTCCTGTTCCAGCCGAGACCTCATCTGACTGTTTTTTTTAGGATTTCTGAACAGCCTTCACGGTGCTGCTCAGCTGCTGAATGAGGCAGCTTTTTGCCTGTCTCAGAGACATCTTTTTACACTCTCACTGTAAAGCACTTTCTTTAAATGTCCTCCATTTTATACATTTATTTTAATCGCAAAGAGCTTGACTCTCTTTGGGGGGCAACAAAAGGCAGATGTGATTTTTGTTTTATATGTGGACCTTGTTAAAGGTGCAAAAATATTAACTTTAATCATTGTCTCCATGATTATATTAATATTTACTGTATAGTGGGCATTGTATACTGCCATATGGGCCCGTTGTTCGTTTCTGAAGGTGTTTTTATATGAAGAAAGAGAAGGAAAAAAAAAACACCAGAAAAAGATCGAGGACACTAATCACAAATTGCTTCTTAAGTGTTTTCCTTTTCTTGGCTGTTAACGTTTCTTTCATTTTTTTTTTTAACTAAATGGAAAAACGTGCCGTGACCGCGCTGTGTTATAAATGAAATCATTCCAGAGATTTAACAGCGAGCAACCCCCCCCTCCTGAAAAAACATTATGGGGGGGTTGAGATATTAAATGCATGCAGCGTGTTTTCTCAAAAACGTAAGCTGATATGCTAAAAATACGAAATGAAGCGCTTCCATTGTTGTAATCTTATATACAAATAGCTTTGTATATAAGACTAAACGTTCAAAGGCTGTTACATAAAGCATTTTAAATCACTCCAACCTTCACAAATGAAAAAGATTATAACATAAAACTGTGAAAACTGTAGGTGCATGTTTGTTAAATTTGTGTGTAAAAACATGTGTATTATACTTTTTGTGGGGTAATGGCTTATATTACTATACTGGGGGGAAAAATAACCCAAAATGCCTTTTGCGTTTCCAGCTGTTAGACCTCAATAAATTTGAATGTTTCTTGTAAAGAAAACTGGAGTTGTGTTTAAAGACTGAACAGAAATCACAGAAAATACAAAGCAGACTGGGTTTTTTATTCGTCTTCATTGCCAGCAAATGTATTCTTGTTTCATCGACGACAGACTCGTCTGTGTACTTGTGAACTACAGCAAGAATCATTATCCAATTGATTGCATTCATGGGTTGAAGTCTGTTGTAACAAAACAGGAAATTAATATGCATATAGTATATATATATTGTCTATATATTTAAAAAAATTAAATTATCTGGAAAAAAAAAAAGATTCATATTAGCCTGTGCTCATGAATATTGATAACTCTTTTTAAGGACCTGCCCTGACTCGTTATGTTCAAGGCAGAAATGAATGTTTCACACGTAAATCTTCAATATGTACAACCACCAACATTTCTGAGCACAGAGGGAATTAAAGTTTAAAGGCTAAAAGCTCATTGGCCTGTACATCATTACTGTACGTCTTATGTAGCTCAGCTTTTATTGGCTGATCATAGTTTGTCTCCTCTGATGTGAACGCTCCACAGTGACGGCCAAGATTGCAAAAGGAATGCATTTTTCCGAGTTTCTTCGGTCTCAGAACTGCAACAGAAGAACAAAAAGCAATGAAAATCATATTTTAACTCTTGGTCATCTTTATTTAAAGTTTTGCACGTGAAAGAATTACTGAAACTCACATTTTTGAGGAACTCCTCAGCGACGATGCGAGCCCTGGCGTTGACAGACAGCTTCATTTCACTAATCTCCTTGTCAATTTCCTCCATGAAATGAATGACAAAGTCCACTAGCTTGTGCTTGTACATCTGTTCTGTGTGGAAATTGGTGATGAGAAAGCTGATGTCATAGCCCTGTGAAATTAAAGAGAACAGTAATGTTAACGATGATCTCATCACCACATTCACTTGAACTGAATGCTGTTGA